CTTATTTCTCTTCTATCTGAACAACTTAACTCCAGTACTAACAAAAATTAGCTTTATCACTGAAGATTTCGGACACCCTTCTTTTTCGGTTCTTAAGGTTACATTTCCTCTTTGTCCAAAGGGTTAAATAGTGATAATTTGCATTGCGATATATGTGAACTTGATAAATATAGATGAGTAATCTTTCCTATCAATATTGCAAGAAGTTTTAAGATTAACTCATTTTGCTTTAATTCATAGTGATAATTGGGGACCATCTAACATTTCTAATATTGCAAGGGTTAGCTAGTTTGTCTTTTTCATTGATGATTGTACAATGTCACCTTGATATTTTTTTTCTAAATCCAAATACGATGTGAATCATGTCCTTCCAAACTTTCATAATATGTTCAAACCCAATTTAGAATTTGCATTAAAAAGTATAGAACTGATAATGTCAAAGATTTTTTTTAATCAAACACTCTTGTACGTTAACCTGGAAGGCGTAGCAGAAAAGAAAAGTATCCATTTACTTGTTGTAACTCAAACATTCCTTAAACAATACTTGGGGGAAGCTGTTCTTACAGCCACTTACCTTGTTAACGGAATACTATCAAGGGTTCTGGACTTAAAAAGATCCACAGGAATCCTTTCCAAGATCTTCCCAGAAGTCAGTATCACCTACATCAACGTCATAGAAGGAAACTGGATCCAAGAGCTCTTAAATGTGTTTTTGTGGGATACTCTTTAACTGAAAATGTTACAAGTGTTACTATCCCTCAACTAAAAAGTTCTATATTTATGCAGATGTTGCATTTATTGAATTTAGTCCTATTCTGGTCTCTTTATATTCGAGAGGGAGACTGTAGTAAAAGATAACACAAAGACCTGCTTCTTCTTGACTACCCTTATTGTCACCATCACAAGTAACTATATCTCCTCAATGACCTCAAAATCCAAAAAATCAGCCAGAGCTAGAATCAGTGCAAAACCAAAAAAAAAAAAAAAAAACTGAACCAAGAAAACGACCGAGCATCATTAACCTTATATAAACCAAGGTTTATCATGTGTACTTGAAAAAGAAACTAGATTCTGAATCAAAGCAGGTCTAAGTAGCGGACTTGAGTTCTGGAAAAGTGACGTAACTTTTGATAATTTCTGATATAATATTGATGTGCTCATTGCAATTTGTAAAGAAACTATTGAAGGAACTACAAAATGTACTAAACATCCACTATAACCACTTTTAAAATTTGTATTTTTGAAAAATGTTCATCTCACAGAAGCTTTCTTACGAGTTGAAATACTGTGTCTATTTTTACTGTATTATCTAAAACATTATCTTGTGAAAAATGAAAAATCTATGAATATAGAAATGCAGGCATTAGAAAAGAACTAAATATAAGAGACGGTGATCTACCCCAAGGAAAAAGGCCAATGGGATAAAATGAGTGTTCATATAGAGTACATAATTGATAGTACTATAGGAAGATATAAAGCCCGATTAGTGACCAAGAGGTACACGCAGACCTGGTATAGACTATCAAAAAAATTTTACACCTGTTGCCAAATAGGAACACATTCTACGTGTGACTGACAACTTCAAAATTTGATGTGAAAAATGTCTTCTTATATAAACACTTCTAGAAAAAAAGTATATATATATATATATATACATGGAGAATCCTATGGGGTTCACTGACATAAGTAGGAACCAATATGGTATACAAACTTAAAAAGATTGTGTGGATTGAAGCAATTACATAAAGCCTGGAAGATTTGCAAAAGTAATGTTAGCTATGAGATACAGACAAAGTCAAGCAGACTATGCACTTTTTATTAAGAAGTTAGATTCAAGATTAGTCACAGCTCTATTTGTGTACATCACTGTGACATGAAATAATGAGAATGAGAAATTAGCACCCAAGCAATATCTGAAAAAGGAATTTTAGATAAAAGAATTAAGAAGACAAATACTTCATAGGAATTGAGACAGCTCACTCGGATTAAGGAATCTTCATCTCTCAACAAAAATACTTTAGTGATCTTTTGAGAAATACATGTAAGCTAGCATGCAAGTTTCCAAGGAAGCCAGTAGACTCCAACCACAAGCTACTTGGCAGAAGAAGATATGGTTGTCAATAGGGAGATGTATAAGAGATTAATTGGGAAACTTTTTTATCTTTCATGTACAAGGTTGGACATTGTTTTTACAGTAAGTTTAATAAGCTAGTTCATGCACCATCCCAAAGAAATATACCTACAGGAAGCATATAGAGTATTGCACTATTCGAAAGAAACCCCGAAAAAGGCATACTGTTCAAAACTAATACAGGACTGATACTGGAAGCTTGTACTAATGCTGACTATGCTGGGTCAGTAATGGATAAAAGATCTATCATGCGGTACTGTACTTTTCTTGGAGGAAATCTCGTTGCATGGAGAAATAAGAAACAAAATGTGATGGCAAAATCAAGGACAGAATCATAATTTAGTAATAGTACAAGAGATATGCAAGCTGTTATGGTTAAAAATTATCTTGGAAGATTTGAAGATTAAGTGGGATGATTCGATGAGACTTTAAGATGACAATAAATTTGCAAACTCTACATGCCCTCCAACTCTTAACTTGCATATATGCATACCGAATGCTTAAGCAACCTTACATTTCAAACAATCATTACCAAACTAGGAATAGACAATGCATATTGACTAGCTTGAGGGAGAGCATTGCAAAGTGTATATTTGTTATGTCTTGGTAGAAGGGTATCTTAGTAAAAATATATCTATGTAATTAATTTTAGAACTTTATTTTCTTACACCTATAGAGGTAAGTTATTCAATAATAAACATCACATTCTATTTTTCCACACTAATAAGAGTTGGCACCAATAAAAAATGTGATCGAAGGCAAGTTGAACATGGACAACGTAGGCAAAAGTCATGCTCAATATCTCATGATGATTATAGAAGAACCTAGGAGCAACCAACAACCACAAGCTTGGGATAATATTTATGTAGGAAAACCTAGGGGTTACCACAAAGGAGATGTAATTCCACTCAGGGGAATAGACATATCAAATCAAGACAGAGATTCCT